CTGTTTCCACAGAACGCAGCACAGAAAACTATTTTACTTTTGGATAAGTCAAAATATATTAAACCCCAATCGCAGCACACCTGTGCACTCAACAACATTTAAATTCTTCACTATTAAATATGTAAACATAAAAAGTAAAAACCTTTGTCAAAGTATTATCTATATAAATAAAATTAGAGTTTTGTCTGTACATTGCTTAGAATCATGCAGTTTTTGGTTATTTTTACGTTTCATAGCCTATGAAAGCCGAAACGAGTCTTATCTCAATTTCTGTCTGTATGTCTGTTTGTCCATTCTGTGACTCCGTCTGTAACGCCAAAATGTCATTTTACACGGCCTACTCCTAGAAAACTAGATTACCGATCAAGGTTCTAATCATTTTTCTGTATTTACTGGATTAGTGAGAGTGTGTTTGGCTATAAAAACATGGCCTCGCTTCTTTGAAAACAAAATAACGAACCATCAAAAACCCAATTTCGTTCGTTTTTTGTCAAATTTTCTCCAAATGTTTACTATTTCATTTTATTAAATAACAATCAGCTGTTTGGATTAGTTCTCACTTCTAGCTGTCACTGATATGTTTCTATTAAAAGTTGTTTACAAATACCGCAACCATTTCCCATCAAGTTTTGTTAGCACATCCAAACCAAGTGAGATTAAAAACGATGTGCCTTACTTAACCGGTTTAATTAATCGCAAGTGCAACGATTGTTCTTGAGTTTTGATAACCGGGGAAAATGCCGTGAATCAGTGTTGTATTAGTGCTGGGAAACTTACCTACATTTTTTTAATCATCGTCACCAGGTTTTCACTGATTGACGGCGCTTCAATGACAGTTGTGTAAAGTGCAAAGTAAAAAATCACAAATGCAGGGGGTGATCGTGGATGTTGCTGAAATCTTGGAAGATCTATCTGATTTCGCTGTGATCGTAACAGAAGTTTAACTTACAGATGTAGCTAAACTCGCTTTTCCAATGTGTCACTTTTGGTTTCTACTTACATTTCGACAACGATATCAGTACTTTTCCTACCTAGGAAGTAAAACTAAAAACGTCCAAAACCCCAGATTTGTGCGATTTGTCACATTTCCTCCGAATGTTTGCTAGATATAATATGTACCGATTATCGTTTAGAGATTACATAATCTTTTAAATAAGAAACCTTTTTTTGTATAAAGGTGGTTTCTTCAAACTGTCATTAATATGTTAACATTAAAAGTTGCTTACAAATAATGCTATTAATGGGAAATAACTTTGATTTTCGAAAACTTAAAAAGATAATTAAAACCAAGGGAGGTTAATAACTTCAATACTGCACCACATTAAGTGACAGTTTTTTGAGCAAACAATAGTAAGTTTTTAAAGCTTTACGTTGTTAACGTTACATGTTACATGTTTTGTGGCCTGTGTATTTATTTATTTATATATTTGCCAACGGATTAACACCTGCGGTTTGATTAGAAGGACAGTTTGAATTGGTCGTAAGTACTATAGTTATTTTCTTAAATGTAAACGTTGGTTTTTGGTACTGCTACTTTTCCCTAGAACCGGTGGTAGCAGTAAGAATCATTTTTACGTACAAACACATCACTATTTACAACTAGCCTATAGTTATCGTTAGTGCTGTGCCTTATTTCTTATTAAATTTAATTGATGTCTTACTGTATAATTTTTGCGTATTCTGTCTGGACTCCAAAATGTTAGTTTATGCTATGAAAATGATAAAACATTATTGAAAGATTTTTTTAGCAAACCATCATGAATTTTTAAAGCTTGGCGTTGTTAACGTATAAATGTTTTGTGGACTGTGTATTTATTTTCTTATTTATATATTTGCCAACCGATTTACACCAATTTTTCAGTTTGATTAGGCATAAAAAAGATAATCATAAAATTTGATGACACTATAAAAACTTTCAAATAATTGTTTTGTTTGTAATGTTAAAGCGTATGAAATCTCCTAATTCAATTCTGTATTTGTGTGTGTATGCTGTCTGTTGGTAACGCATTAATGTCCTTATTTCTCAGTGTTTCGTGGAAAAGACAAGATGTTTTAAGCATTAACATTAAGCACCTTTGTTAATGAAAATTTCAACCCGAATAATGTGTGCAGTAGTGAGGTTGAGGTAGTATTTTAACTACTTTTAACCAGTGTGAAACGTAACTTTCAATTACAGGCCTACCTTAGTTCTATGCCTCATAGATCTATAAAGCAATTCCTTTTATCATTAGATATAAAATATGGACTAACACGATCGGGTGACATATAATTGTGAAACATTCGTTTTGGCTTTGACACTGTCAGATATTGTATTTGCGAAGGTTTATATGTATTCCTATACGGTACAGTAATAGTTTTGCCAGCATATCAGGAAATATTCATATGCAAACCAACTCCTGTTCTGAATATAAGAAGGTTTCAACTTACTACAAGATTCCCGTACTTAGAACGTGCAAACAGCTAGTAAACAATAAAAGGGATGGCAATGTCTTAATAGTTTTATCTTTTGTTCTATACCCACACAATCTAACATACATTTTTAAGTGAATAATAATCGTGCGTGCTATCTCACGTATTCAAATATCTCAGGTATATTTTAAAGAAGGAACTCCAATAACACTAATGCGAAACATAAATCCACCCAAGCTGTGCAACGGAACCAGACTGAAGATTTAAAATACCCCCGCCGCAGCAAACCTGCAGACTAAGCGAATTTCCATTTGACTGATTGAATTTACACTGAAATGTCTACTTAAAAATATAACATTTATTCCCTATTTAAATAGAATTAGTTTAACAAGTACTTAGGTTTGCTGCATCAGGGAGGGTAAAACTGTTCTTTTTTTGTAAAATGTTAATAGTTAGTAAGAAATAAAAATATTTTCCAAATTTGATCAAAATATGTTCATAAACAAGCAAACTACAACAGTTTACTTATTCTCCATAAGAATAACATTGGAATTTTAAATTTACAATTTTTTGGAATTTTCTCCGTAACCATTAGGCGCATAATAACTCTTCAATATACTAAATTATTTGTTTTTTTAAGCTCTACAAAATGGTTTGGAAAGAAATTGCTAAATTTTATGTTTTTTGGGTAAAAAATGGGAAAACCCTATTTTTACCCCATAAAACCCCCCGTAAACCCCCGTTCCCATGGTCCGATCATGCTGGATCGCGAACTCGTTCGAATAAACGTAGGTTTACACGTTTGTACCAAATTTCATCAAAATCGGATCATTTTTACTCGAGTTATCGTGCTAACGGACATATATATATATATATATGAATTTGAACGTATGGTGTTTTTGGCCTCTAGGTACCTCAAAACGAAAAAAAAAATCGGTCCCGCGTCCAGGTCTTACCATGAGTACTACGGTAATAGCTTATTCCCTATATGGGAAATTCGCTAAAATGACACAAAACTTGATGGAAGCAACAATCATCAGTGGTAAGTTTAAAGGGAAATAGTCTTAATACCAAGAATACCGATGATTTCCTCCGAATTACCCTTTGAACTCAAACGACTACAATTTCCTTTGCATCCTGCTTTCTCAATCACCATTATAAGGCACAAGGGCAATCCCTGACTATTGCAGCCGGTTAAAATTTAGAAAATGCATGCTTTTCACACGGATGTGCTGTATGTTGCGTGCTCAAGTGGGGTTAGGTACCTACGCCTAAAAACCTATATATTTATACCCTAATGAAAAACCAAAAAACATTGTTTATCCACTGGTAATTAAGTAAAATAAATATTCTAATTTTTTTGGTAGGCCTATACATTTTTATTATTTATCGTAAAGAACAAATTACCATCCTTATATATAATACGTGAAGGCGATTTCTACGAAACACTACTCCTCCTTTAATAATAGACGGATTTTTACAAACGATGTGTTAAGATTAAGTGTTTTTTGTGTAGACCAATTCCTGTAATAAAAGTGCTCGGGCTTTGCCCCACAGGCCATCAAAATCCCAATGTGTTTTTTTTTTAAGAAAATATTTTGTTTAATTAAACAGACGAATAGTTTGTATTAATTACAGCTGTTCGTAGTAAACACACATGACACACAAGAACATTAGTTTTTAGAGTGAGTTCATTTTCAGTTTCGATAACTTGAGTGGAGTGAGCGTTCGTTTCCAGAGTGAGTTTGTTTCCAGTTTCGATAACTGGAGTGGAGTTAATAATTACATTATCTTTGAGTTGACTCTTTATTTGAGCAACACGTGCACTAGTTTAAAATAATAGTTGTTAGTGCAGCAATGCGCGCCGGGTAACTGCTAAGTACCTTCTATATTTTGCTCATTATTCATCCAATTGATAAAGGATGTATAGTTCTGTAAAACTGTTTTGTATAGTTGTGTAAAACTGTTCTGTCTCTAACAATAATTTTTACCAAAAATTATGTAATATAGCTGTTTACATGTTTTTGAATAAAACATACAATTTGACTAGTCAGGAATAAGACTTACAATTTTGAAGAAATATTTTAGTGAAAATCCATCTAGGCAATTGGAAATTCACTTTATCTGTGGGTTTGTTGCGGCGGAGGTATTTTCAGTTAGGCTCTTAATACTATTTCAGGAGTGATCAGTTCTCTGTACAATACCAGATTTAGGATACTAGCGGCTCTAGGCCCAATCAACCAAAGCGGCCAACCCCTCAGGTGCAACTTCCCCATGAACATCTCCTGCGATATGGACATCATCATAATCAACTGCAAGCGTGTCAAATTATTGATTTTTAAATTTCGATTGCCACTATAAGGACACAACGACTCTAGTGCTTGTAGGTTAGATTCAATGTACTACTTGAGGGCCCGTGGGCTAGCAGTACGACTAACTCGTGGCAAAATGCAGTGACGAGCTACACACGCAAGTCCATCGTCAATGGGTAAATAGATAAATAGAGATAAATAGAGGTAAATAGATAGTCAATAGGTTGGTTGTGAGAGAGTCTATTGTGAGAATGCCACAAAATGGAAAATTATACAAACCAAACTTAAACCTATTAGTCATTCCAATCCTCTGGGAGATGTTTTCCAACATCCTTGTTACAATGGGTTTGGTTTTGAATTTTTCCAACTCCTTGAGTGCTTCTGGGTTCTTATCAACCTCCACTTGCCATTTGTCACACAGCTTGTAGAACTGCAAATAGATTCAAAGTTAACAGCAAATAAATGTTATATTTTCATGTACATTTGGCATATTTCCATCCTTAGTTTTGAACTAGTTTTGATTTATTTTATAACTATTTGAGAAGTATAAACAGAAGAGACATTTCTAGAGGACATAAAAAATGCTTGTCTGTAAATTAAGATCTCCTTTGAGCTCCCGTCACAGCCAAGTGAGCTGGTTTAAAACTGACACTAACAGCAAGTCCCTTAATTAATCCTAAACTATTCCAGCTGGTTCCAACCCATATGGGGAGTTTAGTCCCATCATACTATTTGAAAACATTGTGAAAGAAACAACGCTCTTGCCAAGTATATATCACGTACTGTGTTAAGATTCTGTGGTCTCAGGCATCAACCGCTATTGAAGTCACCACCAGTAGACGGATGTGATTGGATAAAGTATTTGGACGTAGAAAATGTGTGAAGAGGTAAAGGATGTTTGGAGGTAGTCTTACACTTCTGCACCATTTTTTCATGGTGTCAGCCAACTGCTATTGTTCATCAGTCTCGTTTGAAACAGTGACCAAAGTTAGGGGAATTTTGCCTTCAAATCACGATGTAATTGAACAAGAGAGATTGTCAAACTAATAGGGTATGTACCTTTGAGACTTATAGACTACGGTATTTTTTTTTTTTTAAGAAAAGAGGTTGGGGGCCTCTTTTAACCTTGCATTTGCCCATCCACATAGACTAACTGCCCGTGCGTGGAACGTATCCAGCAAAGCAAGGAGTGAGCCGGTACAGTACAAAGGTGAACTGTACTGATTAAATGTTTTCGGCAGTGACCAGGATCCGAACCCACGACATCACTCACTGCCTTGGGCCCGAAGTCCGTGACGCTACCAACTGAGCTACTGACTCACAAGGTTTAGTCCTGGAAGTCTGAAACACGCCAATCAGACCAAGAAATCTTCCTCAAATTTATCACTGTCTCAATGGAAACTGACGATCACTCGCTCCCAGCCTCGTTGAGCAATTATGTACGGCCTTCTGAGAGCTCCTTAAGCCACTGATGCACATTTTCTACGTATAAACACTTTTCTGCAAAAACGTGTCAACAACTGGCAACAGTTATGAACAGGGATTGATCCTCTTCATACAGACACATAATCACAGAACGTAATTCATGCTTGGTGGAATTGTAAATTTTCTTTTTTTGTGTTTTTAGACACTATGACTAGACTAATCATTCCATATGTATTAGTGGAAAGTGGCTAGAATTGTAGTAGATAAAGTCAGCAACATGACATTGGGCTCAGATTTTGCCTAGCTTACTTGGCTAAGACAGCATCTTTATGGATACTTTAATCTACAGACAACTCTGGAAGCAAGGCCGCACAAGATATACAGGCCTTGCTGCTACTTGTGTGACGTCACAACTGTAGGCCGCTACACACACAGGCGCTTATACGTTCCCACCATGATTTGAACAATTAAATGAAGTCGTAATGTTATGACATTTTGTTGTAATGTTCTATTTTAGTGTAGTGTAGTGATTAACTACTTTTTTATTAGTTTAAAATTGTTTGTGCATCGTTAGACATTTACCAGTTAGGCTACTATTTCTTTCATGCAGACGTTTTTATATAATTGTTTTAATTATTGGATATGTCCTACTATTTATTAAACTGCTATCATATGGTTGAATATAAAAAATGAGGAATTAAAAATACTGATTTCAGATCCGTTATTTCTTCATTTTACTATAATGATTTCATAAACTATTACAACATGTAAATAAGAATTTTTTAAACAATAGCTTGAGATCACAAGAAAGACACACCTCAGGATTTGTGCAGACGAGAACATGGTACATTACTGACATGAGTACCTTTCTTAGACTTTTACATCTTAAGAAGGCATTTTCACATCTTTCACCAATCACTTCGCCAATCCAACTTCGCCTCTTAAATAAAGACATTTTTCATTTCATTACAATACCTTCAAACTAATCAATGTATTTATAATACGTTTAGAGGAGTATTGCAAATTTTAACTATCTATCACGGTAAAATAATAAGAAAGTGACTGTGAGTTGAGGAGTATTTGCTTATCACCTAACACAAATTTTTAGATTTACAACAGTTGTATTAAACTTTTTTTAATAACTTATGGCAAATTGCCCTTCTATGTAAGTAATTCTGAAAACATCATTGTCGTAAATATCAACACTGTCCAACTCATGAGAAATTTCTTAAAATTCAGAAACATCCGACACAAGGTTCATTTTCCCCTTCTGGTCCCTCAGTTTCTTCATCATTAAAATCTCTTATCTCTACCTCCCGATTATTAACAGAATACACCTTAATAATAATAATAGGGTTTTAAGCTTCTTCTCTGACTCGACAACTTGTGCAACAGATATATTATAACTAGCACAACTCATCTGATAATATTGTCCAAACCTTGCCTTTAAAAATCATCTGTCAGTCAGCTGCCTTCTTCTTCTTTTTATTTGTTTACATTTTGCGACCAACAATTTGGTTGCCTACTCTAAGACAGAGAGAACGACTTTTACTATTAGCTCTTTCGTTCATGGAGTAAACAGTTCGGCGTCTATGAATATATATCATTATAATTTCACAGCTTTTAGAATAAGAAATTGAACTTTACAATATTAGTCGGCAGTAGTTATACCGCTTATGTTCAGTATTAAAATTCACCTTTACATTTAAAATATATATGTATATATTTAGAACTAAGCAGCTTTTTACATTATTCAATTTAATGTTGGCATTGAATATTAAATAGTCAAAGATGTTAGTCTATTTTTATACTAAAATGCTATGCAAAGGGGAGGAAACAGGTCCACGACGTAGGTAGTGGTAAAGGAAGTGGAAAGGTGAGCAGTGGGGAGTGTGGAAACCCTTTGGGACAGTTAAATTAATGTATCTGTAATACTTAAATGCTATGGGAAGAGAGGGAAACAGGTCTATGATGTAGGAAGTAGTGAAGGAAGTAGTCAAGGCGAGCGATCCGTATTGTGGGAAGCCTTTGTGGCAGTTATATTAATGTATCTGCAATTCTAAAATAGTATGGGAGGGGAGGGAAACAGGTCCACGGTGAAGGAAGTAGTGAAGGCGAGCAGTCCGGAGTGTGGAAAGCCTTTGTGACAGTTAGAATAATGTATCTGCAATTCTAAAAATGCTATGGGAAGGGAGAGAAACAGGTCCACGACGAAGGAAGTGATAAAGGAAGTTGTCAAGGCGAGGGGTCTGGAGTATGGGAATCCTTTGTGACAGTTAGAATAATGTATCTGCAATTCTAAAAATGCTATGGAAAGGAAGGGAAACGGGTCCACGACGTAGGAAGTGGTGAAGGAAGTAGTTGAGGCGAGCAATCCGGAGTGTGGGAACCCTTTGTGAGAGTTAGATTCATCTATTTGCAATACTAAATTGCTATGGGAAGGGAAGGAAACAGGTCCACGACGTAGGAAGTGGTGAAGGAAGTAGTCAAGGCGAGCAGTCCGGAGTATGGGAACCCTTTGTGACAGTTAGATTAATGTATCTGCAATAATAAAATGCTATGAGTAGGGAGGTAAACAGGTCCACAACATAGGAAGTGTTGAAGGAAGTAGTCGAGGCGAGCAGTCCGGAGTGTGGGAACCCTTTGTTACACTTAGATTAATGTAACTGCAATTCTAAAATGCTATGGGAAGGGAGGGAAACAGGTCCACGACGTAGGAAATGATAAAGGAAGTAGTCAAGGCGTGGGGTCCGGAGTATAGGAATCCTTTTGACAGTTAGAATAATGTATATGCAATTCTAAAAATGCTATGGAAAGGGAGGGAAACAGGTCCACGACGTAAGAAGTGGTGAAGGAAGTAGTGAAGTCCTGCAGTCCGGAGTGTGGGAACCCTTTGTGTAATGCATCTGCAATACTAAAAGGCTATGGGAAGGGAGGAAAACAGGTCCACGTCGTAGGAAGTGGGGAAGGAAGAGGTAAAGGCGAGAAGTTCTGAGTGTGGGAACAGTTTGTGGCAGTTAGATTAATGTACATGCAATACTAATATGCTGAGGGAAGGGAGAGAAACAAGTCCTCGACGTAGGTAGTGGCGATGGAAGTGGTAAAGGTAAGCAGTGCGGAGTGTGGGAACCGTTTATGGCATTTAGATTCATTAGTTAGATAAACATATATTGGATTTTTAATAATTTTTTAGGTGATATAATAGCGCTATCGTTAGTATGTGTTATACAGGGTATCTTCCTAAAGATCTTGAATCTTGAAAGATCTTGAATCTATATAAAGTCCCGCACGGACTTAATATTTTCTAAACGACAACATATAAATCAATAAGATTTGGTACATCAACACCACACCTAAAAATCTACTTTTTCAAGGAACTATGAATTTTCTGTCATATCAGGTTGCAAGGAGTCGGAAGAAAATCTTAAATGGAAGCATAGGTCAGTATGCACATCAAATGAAAGGTCTTTTTTAGTGGAATACAATGCCGCAAATCACACTTCAAAAGGTTGATCCTGCGCAAAATGGCAGCTGTTCAAAGATTTCTTGAATCTGCCATTTTGAATCTTTGAACGACTGCCATTTTTTACTCAGGCGTTCTTTTGAGCTTGAATTTACGGCATTGTAATCTACTAATGAAGACCTTTAATTTGATGTGCATATCGACCTATGCTTACGTTAACAATTTTCTTCTGTTTCCTAGGGCTGTGCCCCCTGAGGAGTAAGCGTATAATAGCAATGCAAATTAAATGAATCTTTGAACAACTGTCATTCTTGGCTCGGTTGTCCGTTTGAGTTCAAATTTGCGGCATTATATTCTGCTAGTAAAGACCTTTAAACTGATGTGCATATTGACCTATGCTCCTATTTAAGATTTCCTTCTGACTCCTTGCGGGAAAAATTCATAGTTCCTTGAAAAAGTAGATTTTTAGGTGTGGTGTTGATGTACCAAATCTTATTGATTTATCTGTTGTCGTTTAGAAAATATTAAGCCCGTGCGGGACTTTATATACACCCTGTATATCATCATTATAAGCTATACGATATTTTTAAGAAGACTCCTTTACACCGTGCTGTGGCAATTAGGTTAAATTAGATTAGTTCAGTTTTGCTTAGTTTTGTTTATGATAGGCCTCATAACAAATAAGGAGATTGGCTTTAATTAATCAAAAAACGTTCTGTACAGGAATGATGGATTTACCTCCTATCGACTGTTGGAAATCCATTACGTATATTACCAATGACTTTAGAAAACACGGTTAATTAATGGACGAGAAGTTAGGATTGTTGTTGACTGAGATTTGGTTGATTTGCCCATACAGATAACATTGTCTTCACCAGTGACACCAGTAAGTAGGCTAGGTGCGGGTGGACTCTTCCATTATTGCGCTCACGTTCACTCATCCCGTTACGCGCAGAATAAGCGTACTACTAGTACTAAAAGCTCTATAATCTACTTTAGTCAACAATTCTAATACTTGTAAAGTAAGTTTGTGTAGCTGTTCACCTATTAAATCTTTGCAAAAAAATAAACCTACCACTTCTTATTGTTCGATATGTACAATGATATCATAAACGTTTCAATGGTTGTGAACGATTTTGTTAATATACCGCGCTATGCCTACCGACCACGCCGTGTAGCGGGGAAGCAACCGCCTTCAGTTGTGATGTAGTGCCTGAAGTGGTGGGGGAGCAGCACGGCCTATATATATCTAGTGCGGCCTTGCTTGTAACTATAACCAACAGCAATAATTTCCTGTTTGTAATTTCCATTCTCAGCAATATGGCATTCAATAGCTTATTCCCAGAAAAAAATTAAGTGTCATACTAGCAGCAAAACCTGGCAGTGCCCGGGTCAAAATAAAATTCACAATAATCGTGATAAAAATTGTTTTTGAATTGAGTAATACAACATCTTGAACTTAACTAAATCATACTATCGATATCTCAAATGAAAGCCTTGATTTCTAAGTAATGTTTCCAGATTGCAGAATTTTTTATTGTTGTTGCGTGTATTGAATCATTACTAGTTTAATTACTTTCTATGTGGAAATTATTAAAATGCTGTGATAGAGTTAAATGTTGAAATTTTTTATAGGCTATAGATATTTTTACCCTCTTGTTGAGGTGAGGATAATTTTTTTTTAGATTCACTGACCATAATCTCTGATGAACTAACTTACTTAACATAACCTTTGTTGAGCTACATTGAAATCATGGTTCAAACCTAAAGTCTGTCCGTTGGCACCAAGAAAAGGGGGGGAAATACATTTTTGTAGGTTAAGGTTATTCGTTATCACTGTATGTTCATCTTCATTCTTCATTAGGAAAATGAGTGTTTTGTTTTAACATTGTTGAACGTGAGGGTTACTAACTTTTTATTAAGTTTGAAACTGTTTTTATTAACAATGTCTTTCAAAGTGTGGCTGCATTTTAAAAAATATGGAAATTATATCTCCATTTATAATTTGTTAAACCGTTAAATCGTAGCATGTATATTTTTTTCAATACCAAATGCAAAATCTCAGTTATTAGAATAAAATTAGAGTTAAAAATAGTTATAAAAAATTTAGTTTTTAAAATGGTGATTTGGGAAAGTCAGAGTATTTGATGCTATTCAATTAGGCTAACTTAATTCTTTGGTATTTCACTCATTAGGATTTGTTTTATTTTTTACTTATTAGGAATCGATGGAATCGGGAATCGATTTGCGAGAATCGGTATCGGAATCGGAAAAAGTGGAATCAACCCATCCCTACTCGAAATATACATCAGATAGTGAATGCTGATGCATGATGGCAAATCTGTAGGTGCATACCATTAATTTATGACCAAAACTATGGAAATTCCATAGAATTTCCATGGAAATTTCAAAGGTAAGGTAAAAGAGCCAAACTGACTCAGAAAAGAAAAACCAATATTCTTTAATATATAGATAGTAGTTTTAGATCATACCTTACACTTTCATTCAATATCCTCCACTAGAGGGGAAGTTAGAAAAAGGGAGTTTAGAAATGTCTAAGATGGCTGTGTAAGTGAGAACAACAGCTGTTTGGAATCAATGCTTTCAGAATGAATCAGACTAAATCTCAAATTATGAACTTGATAATGGTTAACCCAACGTTTATAGTCTGATATTATAAACTGTGCGGCATAGGGTGTATTAATTGTTTGGATAACTGAAATATAAATGAACATAAACAGCAACATCTTATATGTTAAAAAACATTGGTTTTTCTTTTCCAAGTTTGTTTGGCTCTTCTACCTGACCAATTTTCATGATTGAGGTCTCAAATTGAAGGTCTGCACGCACAGATTTGCCATCAAGCATCGGCATAAATGTATCTATAATCCCACTCGACATATATGTAAACGAAATTTGCTCTCCATGTATTTCTTATGGGAGTTAAATTTGGTTTCTCTTTGCCGAGTTCGCTTGGCTCTTCTACCCGACCGATTTTCATGATTGAGGTCTCAAATTGAAAGTATGCACGCACAGATTTGCCATCAAGTATCGGCATATATTTATCTATTATACCACTCTGCCCTATACGTAAACAAAATTTGCTCCCCATGTATTTCATATGGGAAGTTAATTTTAGTTTTTATTTTCCGAGTTTGTTTGGCTCCTCTACCCGACCTATTTTCATGATTGAGGTCTCAAATTGAAGGTATGCACGCACAGATATGCCATCAAGCATCGGCATTTAATTATCTATAGTCTCACTCGGTTTATACATAAACGAAATTTGCTCTCCATGTATTTCTTATGGGAGTTAAATTTGGTTTCTCTTTGCCGAGTTCGTTTAGCTCTTCTACCCGACCGATTTTCATGATTGAGGTCTCAAATTGAAAGTATGCACGCACAGATTTGCCATCAAGTATCGGCATATATTTATCTATTATTCCACTCGGCCCTATACGTAAACGAAATTTGCTCCCCATGTATTTCATATGGGAAGGTAATTTTAGTTTTTATTTTCCGAGTTTGTTTGGCTCCTCTACCCAACCGATTTTCATGATTGAGGTCTCAAATTGAAGTAATGCACGCAAAGATGTCACATCAAGCATCGGCATATACTTACCTACTGTATTACTCGACTAAAAACATAATTTGTATAATTTTTGAATTCTTACATCAATTTAAGATGTATTTCACCAGTTATAATTATATAATCCTATATATTTTGGTCTAAGAACTTTCAGTGAAATATCGGCTTTTATTTAAGCGATTAAGATACTGACTCAATCAAAAATCATAAATTTGATTATTTCTCGGATATTATATTTATTTTAACGCTGCAGAGCAGCATGGGCCCTCTAGTTTTATTGAATTAGACAATGAGCCCTCTTAATTAAAGTTAGCCCTCTTTAGGGATCTGTGCTATGTTACTATGACAGGCCAGTCTATTTACTATATCTACAGGCAAAGGTACTTATTAAGAACACTAATTTATGTAATGTTGCATGATTTATGGCTGATCACGGTATGTTCAATGATAAGTTTATCAATAAGTACTTAAGTTGCTTTTAGTAAAATATTAACTTAGCTTAGCTGTACTGTTTAGGTTCTATGTAGATAAGAAATTGGAGATTGTATAACAGATTAAACACATACCCTCAATATTGGATCTTTGGCAAGTGCCTCTGGATACCAAACATATGCCTTCTGCTTTCGACCAAACAATCCGACTGTAAAGGATCGAGCACTTTCTCTGGCTCGTTGGGTTGCTGTGTGCCTGAACTGAAAACAAATAACGTTTGGGCCAATTAATAATTTTGTAAGTTAATTATTTGAATGGATTGAAATGCAAAGACATTTAATTTTGATGGATATGACTTTTGTTAGTGAATTACTTCTACATATTTATCTATGTGTGTGTTTGTGTGTGGGTGTAGAATGAATCACCCAATATTTTTTTTAATGGACAATGCAACAATACCCACTTCATACTCTTAAAACTTAAGGAAGCACCTTTGGCCAATTTATTTTAATTTGTCATTAAATTATTATTTTTTGGTCGGAAAGATCCTTCTATCAGATTACGTCTTGGAATGAGCTGATTCTGCTTCATCAAAAACACACTCTGCATTACTATGAATATAAACAATTGATACTTTTGACTTTGAACTTGACACCAATTCCAGAATATTTTTCATTACATTAAAATTTTGGCAGTGTTAACATTATTAATCTTCCACAATTGTGGAAAAAGTGTGTTTATCTACAACTCTAGTACTACATGTAATATAATATCCAAAAAGTCACAAAATGAGATCCCTAGAATGTCATTCCTAGAGCTGGAATGACTGATTTATGTTGAAATCCCCCCACCGCAGCAAACCTGCAGACTAAGCGAATTTCCATTTGCCTAATTGGATTTACACTAAAATGTCTCCTTAAAAATACATTTATTCCCTATTTAAATAGCATTTAGTTTAACGAGTACCTACTCTAGGTTTGCTGCAACAGGGAGGGTAAAATAGTTTTTTTTTTGTAAAATGTTAATAGTTTAGTATGAAATACATGCATTTTCCAAATGTGGTCAAAATATGCTCATAAACAAGCAAACAACAACAGTTTACTTATTCTCCATAAGAATAACATGGAAATTAAAATTTTTTTGGAATTTTCTCCGTAGCCATTAGGTGCATAATAACGCTGCAATATCTATATATATAATTCTGTAAGACCAAATTTTTACCAGAAAATTGTGGATGTCTGGTAAGTCGCAGAAAAGTGGGAGGGGTCTTAAATTAAAGGTCTTGACCCCAGGGACTCGGGAAAAATAGCAGAATTACCATAAAGTTACAAGAAAACGAGATATAACGTAAAATATCCACCATAAGAAATGCATGGAGACTGAAAAACGTCTGCATTCTATCAGCTGTTACTTATTTATTTGCAATGTTTACATTTATTCCAAAAGTCAATGTTGGTAAATAATGTTTCAAAATGAATTGTGTTTAATTTTTTTGTTTTCCGTTTTTATAATGAGTGAAGTAACTAGACAGGGTAGGGGAAGACCTACAAGAAGTGGAAGAGTGTCCAGGAATTCAACAGACTTAAGAAATGCAAAAGAGAACCTCATGTAGGGCCTAACTGTGAAAGAAATCCAGAAGCTGTTTTACAACCTGTCTTTAGAAGAACGCTGGAAAATGAGTTGAGTGTTGTTTCTCACAATCTAGGTCCTCTTAAAGCACTTGCATGCATTGTGGCGCATTTCACTTCGCAGAGGAGGCCACAAATGGACATTTCAACGCATGTTGCCACAATGGACATGCCACAACTACAAGTAAATTTAAACTAGAAAATATGTGCAATGTTTGGCTGTATGATTTCAGCTCTGATTCGTCGTTCTCCGGGCTCAGGCCAAACCGTGTGCACGTTTCCATTTTGTTAATATGTTGTGTTATTGATTTAATCATTATTTTACAATTGTATTTCATTGACACATCAGAAGCAACTAATACACGACTCCAACGGAAGGAAAACCAAGATATAAAACAAGAAACACGGTTAATTTTAAGTAACATAAAATTGATAATTTTAAAAACATATTTTGAATATTTGTCTTTTTATATACGGTTTTTTTATTGTAGTCTAAATTAGGGGCTATGGCCCCTACAGGCCACTAGTACTATATTATTTGTTTTTTTAAGCTCTACTAAATGGTTTGGAAAGAAATTTGCTAAATTTTATGTTTTTAGGGTCAAAAATGAGAAAAACCAATTTTTACCCCATAAAGCCCCCCATAGACCCCCGTTCCCATAGTCCGATCATGCTGGTTCGCAAACTCGTTTGAATAAATGTAGGTTTATACCAAATTTCATCAAAATCAGATCATTTTTGCTCGAGTTATCGTGCTAATGGACATATATATATATATGAATTTGAACGGTTGGTGTTTTTGGCCTCGAGGGACTTCAAAACAAAAAAGCAAATCGGTCCTGGGTCCAGGTCTTACCATGAGTACTACGGTAATAGCTTATTCCCTATATGGGAAATTTGCTAAAAATTATAAATATTCTAAATGTTGGGAATTATTTTGTAGAAAAATAAATTTTAGTTAGCTTACCTAAGAAAATGTTGAGTCTAACACAAATGAAATATCAAAAGAATAAAGAAAAACTGATACTTTGTCCTAATTGAAGAGAAGTAGGTTGAAGTTAATTGATTTAATCTACTCTCTGAAGAAGTCCTAAATAAACGGTATCAGCAATCTGATACATACTTTCTCCCACTTGTCAACAGCCTTTATCATGGTTAAGCGATAAGAGTAATCATATTAGGTAAATTCACAAAAGTTGCATTAACTTTTGAACTAAAATTTTTACAGGAATTACAGGAACTACGTTGCACTATCTTTTTACAATAACAAATACCATAATAGACGAATTTCAATGAGTCCCGGGGTTTTTTTATTTGGAAAATCAATTTTTCAGTTTATGCATGAGTTTTTATGGGAAAATAACATAAGTTATGATAACTTTTGAACCGTAATTTTTACAGGAATGGGAGTTCTATCATGTTCAGAATTTAAAGGGCTACAACATACAAATTGTTTATCAAAATCGTTTAGGCCATTTTCGAGAAAAATTAAATTTTTCTGTTATTTTATTGGTTTTAATAGGAAAATCACCATAAAATAAAAACAGATTGCTGTATTTTTTTGCAGAATTTACCCGCATGCCTCGACATGCAATGCAACTAACCTCTAGCAGTCACGTATCACTAAAGCTGCCATATCCCAGTTAATATTCGTGCAATCTTAAAAAATAAAGTGTCAATCGATTTGTAATTAAATTGCCAAAAAAAGTTATTCTTGTACTTTTTTTGTGAAATAAATGGTTTTTTTTTATTTAAGAAAGAAAATTTGTAATGGCTCCCATTTTGGATTGGTACAATTTAAAAACCTGATACTTAGTGCAAAGATTAGTCTTACCTGTCACTAATTACATACCAAGATTTTAGACAATCGGTTAAAAAGTTTGAAAGTTGAGTTTAGTTTAAAGTTTGATTAGTTTGTGAAAATCACATACAGACACACAGGCAGAAAACCATGCATTGTTTTGACCCTAGGAACAAATATACAAAACGGTTCCAGAAAGTTCCGGGACACCCTGTATATTGTATAAATATGTGTGTGTCCGTTAGCATGATAACTCAAGCAAAAATGATCTGATTTTGACACATGGAAAACAAAGTTTTTTCGAACAAGTTTGCGAACCAGCATGATCTTTTTTATGATATCTAGCCAGATCATTCATTGGAACGGGGTTATATGGGGATTTATGGGGTAAAAATTGGTTTTTTCCATGTTTGACCCCCAAAACATAAAATTTGCCAATTTCTCTTTAAGCCATTTTGAAGAGCTTAAAAAAATAAATAATTTAGTATATTGAAGTGTTATTGTACTCGGAGAAAATTGAAAAAATTGTTAATTTAAAATCCCCATGTTATTCTTGTGGAGAATAAATAAACTGTTATAGTTTGCTTGTTGTGTGTATATTTTGATCAAACTTGGCAAATTTATTATTTTATACCAAGCTATTAATATTTTACAAAAAACACACTTTATTACCCTGCTGTATCAGCAAACCTAGCTACTCGTTAAACTTAATGTTATTAAATTGTAAATTAAATCTAACAAAAAAACCACTAAGTGGTAACACTTTCCCCGCCAAGTCAGCAATCCAAAAAAGATAATAAATCATTACTTTTTCCGCCAAGAAAAACAGTGTAATGTATGTAAGTTTGGCAACATGGCGGCAGACTTTTGCTTGGTTTTTTTCTTTAAAGTTTCGTTCGTGGATAATCTCACAAATCAACTTCTCTAATTAATTAGTCCAACTAAGTATAATAATTTCGAGGTAATCAGTAAATATAAAACCATCACTATTATTATTTTATGAAATGTGGCACAAATAAGGTCAAATTTTGTAAAATAAGCTCTCACCTAGCAATGTACTAATGGGAGAGATACTTGCTCAATGAAACTAGTTTTATGGTATTTTTTAAAGTGATCAAGCAAAAGTCTGCCGCCAAGTTGCCAAACTTACATACATTACATTGTTTTTCTTGGCGGGGAAAGTGTTACCACTTAGTGGTTTTTTGTTAGATTTTATTTATTTTTGTAGAAAATTAACAGTTAAAATAAAAATCCTCTTTTCTCTGATATATAGACCACGGCACAACTACGTCTAATTTAATTTCAATAATATTGTTTGTGTAGAACTAAATTCTACATTTTTGGTCTTATCTGCTTTAAACCGATTAAAAACTGTTTGATACACGTACCAAAATTACTATTTAACAAACCCCCTGGGCTTAAACTCAGTTTCAAATTTCATCAATGGTCATCTTGAACAACATAAAATGCGTTGGTGTTAAATAAGTGTTCTGATAATTAAACCCGTATATCTAAAGACCAGTGCAAATTGAGCCCTTGTTAGAGAAGTAAAAATGTAATCAAACAGATTAGGTTTGTTAGAAATAGCTTAAGGCTAAACAAATATTGAAAAACTCATTTATCCTAAATTTACATATCACTTTTTAATTGCTTGTTTAACATACGTAGAGTGATTTTCCCGATTGTTTTATTTGTTTTAGTGTATCAAAACATAAAACAAACCTTAGTACTAGTACTAAGTTTCAAGTTCCTAGGTTTCAAATGTTTTGATAAGTATAGTAGTATTAAACTGTTAAAAATGACGAGCTGCTGTACCAGTGTACCATCGGTA